TCCCCCCCCCATGTGTAGTGGCAGACCCAGTTCTACATTTTTTTTCTGAAGTCGAAAGGGGAGGGGGCCAACCTCACTTCTGGGGGGAGAGTGTTCCAAAGGGCAGGGGCTGCTGCAGAGAAGGCTCGCTTCCTGGACCCTGTCAGATGAAATTCTCTTACAGATGGGGTCCGTAGCGTGCCCCCCTCTGCTTGACCAGGTGGGACGGGTTGATATAACAGGGATGAGACGGTCCTTCAGGTACCCTGGACCCATGCCATGTAGGGCTTTAAAGGTGAATTGAATTGGACACCTTGAATTGGACCCAGAAGCACACTGGCACTCAGTGCAGCTCACGGGGCAAAGGTGTTATATGTGCTGGTCTTGATGCACCTAAAATTGTCCGTGCCGCTGCATTCTGGACCAGTTGAAGCTTCCAGATACTCTTCAAGGGTAGTCCCATGTAGAGTGCATTACAATAGTCTATATGGGAGATGACCAGGGCATGAGTGACCGTTCGAAGGGCCTCTCGGTCCAGGAAAGGGCGTAATTGGCAGACAACACGGAGTTGTGCAAATGCCCTCTTGGCTACGACTGCCACCTGCTCTTTGAGCAGGAGTTGTGAGTCCAAGAGGACCCCCAAGTTATGCACCGGGTCTGCCTGGGGCAGTGCAACCCCATCCAGAACCAAAGATGGCAAATTCCTACAGGCTGAGGGGCCATTAACCCACAGCCACTCCATCTTGCCAGGGTTCAGCTGAAGCCTGTTGTTCCCCATCCAGACCCCCACAGCCTCCAGGCACCTGGAAAGGGCAGCCACAGCATCACTAACTGCCACCGGGATTGAGATGTATAACCGAGCATCATCGGCATACTGATGATACCTCACCCCGTGGAGACGGATGATCTCACCCAGTGGTTTCATATAGATGCTAAAAAGGAGAGGAGAGAGTACTGAACCCTGCGGCACCCCATAAAGGAGGGGCCACGGGCCCGATCTCTCCTCCCCTATCAACACCAACTGGGACCAGCCCTGGAGGAAGGAGGCGAGCCAACACAAGACTCCGCCGCCCACCCCCAACTCCCTGAATCAGTCCAGAAGGATACCATGGTCGATGGTATCGAAAGCTGCTGAGAGGTCAAGGAGAGCCAGGATGGATGCGCCACCTCCATCCTGCTCCCGCCAGAGATCATCCATAAGTGTGACCAGTGCTGTTTTTGTTCCATATCCGGGCCTGAAACCTGACTGAAAGGGGTCCAGATAATCCATATCATCCAAAATCCTCTGGAGCTGCAGTGCCACCACCTTCTCAACCACCTTTCCCATAAAGGGGAGGTGGGAGACTGGATGAAATTTATCCAGAACAATAGGGTCCAGCGATGGTTTTTTGAGGAGGGGGTGCACCAGCGCCTCCTTAAAGGTCGCTGGGAACACCCCCTCTCTCAAGGATGTATTAACCATCGCTAGGACCCAATCACACATCCCCTCCCTGGCTGCCCTCACCAGCCAGGAGGGACATGGGTCTAAAGGGCGTGTGGTGGAATTTACAGTCCGGAGGATCCTGTCCACTTCCTCAGGACCAAACTGGTCCCAGATAACTCAGCAAAGACATTCCCCAGGCATCTCTTCAGACCATGCCTCATGCTTGGCATCCAACTTAGAGTGGATCCAAGTGACTTTATCCTGCAGATGCTCAGAAAATTCCTCAGCACGGCCCTGTAGATGGTTTTCTGAACC